CCCTGCTTAGTTCTCCCATAAATCCAAGATTCTACAAGCGGTACGTAGACGACACTTTCACAATTCTACCTTTAGATAAAGTAACTGCATTTTTAGACCATCTTAACTCTATAAATTCTAAAATTCAGTTCACAATGGAGTTAGAGGCAAACAATTCCTTAGCTTTTCTAGATGTGTTAGTAATTCGGAATCCTGATAACACCTTGAGCCATACTGTGTATAGAAAAAAGACCCATACAGATAGATATTTAAACGGTGATTCTCACCACCATCCTTCACAGTTAGCTACCGTGGGTAAATCTTTGTTTCAGAGAGCACGAGGGATCTGTGACAGTAAACACCTGGCTGCAGAGCTCCACCATGTCAAGCAAGTTTTGCATGACAACAAGCTTCGAGTCCCGCGCCTACGTCACAGTGAACGAGTGAAGCCGGCCACAGTCGAGCGTGTACCTGCTGTACTGCCATATGTTAGAGGAGTCACTGACAAGATTGGCTACATCTTGAAGCGCGCTTCAGTCAAGTGTAATGTCCCTCTGCAAGATGCAGGAGTGTACAAGCTTGATTGTGAATGTGGTCTCTCCTACATAGGACAAACTAAAAGATCAATAAAAACCCGCGTTAAAGAACATATAGCTGATGTGAAGAATCGACGCTCCGGGAAGTCTGCAGTCTGTGAACACGTACAGGATCGCCCCCGTCACTACATCAGATTTGATAGACCGCAAATCCTCGCTAAAGAACACCGATTCCTTCCAAGGATGATTCGCGAGGCTATTGAAATCAAAAAACATCCTAATTTCAATAGAGAAGATGGCTGGGTGCTACCATCTGCTTGGGATCCTATAATAAATAAAATTAAATCCCAACCCAAGCATACAACTGCAAGACTTCAAGATACCATAAGTTCATACTGCATAGATCGGAACAAAAGTTAAAATCTTAATCTATGGTAACCGCGGTTAACTATGACATATGGACGTTGAACATCTCAGTCCCGCCCGTGACCATGAGTGCTGTAAAGCGTTCGAAACGTCGGGTATTAAAAAGTTAAATATACGCGATAAATTCCGTAAAATCTAGTATTATTTCAATAAAAAAAATTCTTTAGCCCTTTTTGACTTCAAATTAATTTGAAATACTTTTTTAATATTATGCCCCAGGCTAGAAGTCAATCTTTATTCATTGATAGTTGAAAAATTATAAGATCATATAAAATGTCGATTATCAATCAAAATATCAATAAAAAATAACCGAAGTCGATTCAATCATACCTTCTTACAGACAGTGTTTAATCCGGCTTTCATTTTAAAAGCGTATCTGAATCGCTTCAGGTTTGTCGAACGTCAGCAGTGTGTGATGGTGTGAGAATTAAGCAGCTTACGTGGATTAAGCTACTTTAATGTTACATACAAAGGATAAATCTTCGACATAGACACAGTGTGCAACGGGAACCAGAATAAAAACTAAAAGGCTGAAGCTATTGTCGACGTTCGGTGCAAATCTTCTGTGCTAGTAATATTAAGTTAAGTTCAGAGTATTATTGTGTTAAAAATATAATCAAAATTTGATTTATTATTCATAATAGTTTGTTACCAAAATTATCTTTACATGATAGAGCCATGCTGCAGCTATATTGCTAGTTGTAGCACGAATGGGTAGGGTCGACCGGAGAAGAACAACGCTCTTACAGAATACCAGCGAAAAATAGCAGCTCAGAAAGTGTATCGGACACCCTTTTTACTGAAAAAGAACGCTGACAACGCATCTGCATTTTGATACTTACTTAAGGATATATGTCTATGGGCCGCAGCAACCACTTACCACCAGATGAACTGGTACTGAAGTGCTCGTTTGTCAATAAAATTGAAGTGTACTTCTGTAATATTCATATAACCGCCTTCTATTAAGTTCACATTCAATCTATTAAGATATAAGCAAACATTTTAAAAAATTTCGTCTGTCTATCTTGTCTGTCAGTCCGGCTAATCTTTGGAATGGCTGATCTGACTGTGATGTCCCTTTACAAACAAATAGTGAGCAATGCCAGAAGGGGTCCAAATTTTATTCGAAAAACTTGGACATATTATTGTTTTCAAAAAAAAAAAACTAAAAATATCATATGTAAATAATTAGATATTTATTTTATTTTATAGAAAGGATAAAGCTCTTTTCTTGAAGGTCCCTAGGTCGTATCGGTCCGGAAAAATCACCGGTGGTAAACTATTAATTCCACAGAGAGATCGTAAGCGGGAGAAAACTCTTAGTGTAACGTAAATTGGTGAACCGCCAAGTATCCAGATGGTGTGGATGATTGGCGGAATAACATTAAAAGATCCTATCTAGAAAAAGTCGGCGGATAGCTAGTTTGTAGCTATAGGTGAGGGTTGTCAGCTGCTGATATTGAAAAAAGATTTATAATAAAAAAAGAGATATTCGTGATATCGGCAACATTAGACAACTTAGAGATGATACCTTTGATGGTCTCGGTGCAGTGGCTTAGCTTTGAGTTGGGGCCCTGAGGGTCGCGGGTTTCAATACCGTACGGAACAAGAGTATTTGTGTGGTCTTCAAGTAATTGTTCCTTGTGTAGTTGTTTCTCATTGTACAATTAATGTGTTTTAACTGCCACCAAGATATAATTAAGAAAAAATGTTTTTTTTAAATGCAGAGGCATAAATAAGAGAGAAATATATTATAATTTTTTCTCACAATTAATTTTGTATAATATTATATAGTCAAGAATCTATTTTAATACCTTACCTTAATAATACGTATTGTCCATATGTCGTGATAAATCCAAACTTCATCTAGCCTGCACTTGTGCGGCTTTTTAACACTGACAGTTCATTTTAGTAGATGTATAATATCTATTCATCGCAAGATATTCAGTAATTTTACTGATCTGTCTTTGCAAAAATTCATTTAAGAATTAGATGCTTATGCAAAAGATAAGAATTATAGGATAAGAATTTCTATCGCAAGCTTATTTCTATCGTTTACTACGTGGAGTCCTTTGAGGAATTGCTCAGATTAATTCGTTATTCTTAATCAAAATCGAGAATCTTTTTGCAACGTAAGTTTGATGAAATGGACTAAGAACGTCTTATTGAAGATGCTTATCTAGACATACCTACTTGTTATATTATTAATTGTAACTTTCATTGCTGTTGGTTTGTACATGCTTTAAATGCAAGAGGTGACGAGTTAGCACTGTCTGTCTATATTTACATAACAGTGTTAATCAATCTGCCGTGAAAATAAACATTAGTGTAAATTGAGTGGATGTTCAAAGTTCAAAAGTAATTAAAGATTAACGATGTATTTTGTTACTTAATTAAGTTGTGACGTGTGCGATAATTTATAATAAGGTATAGATATTTACTTTACATGATTAAAAATAAAATTAGAACCTAAATAATAAAATAATTAAAGATTTAGTTGTTAGTTCCATTGTTTCTCTCTTAGTTTGTCTTTTATGAAGATTGAAAATAACTACAGCGAGCCGATGTTGATAACCGAGCACAAGGTTCGGTACTAGGACTCAATTGTCTTACGTCAATGGCATGGGAAGCTGCATCGGCATTGCACGTGATACTAGTTTGCAGATGACACTTGTCTTGTAATCGGTAATAAAATCCACAAAATGCACGTGACCTTTTGCATTCTGACCTAGATATCCTAACAAGGTGGTGCTATGATACTGGGCTTGTCCATAATGCTAGCAAAACTAAGTGAACATGAACGTCACAACAAACAACACGTCAACATGAATTCAACATATTGAACGTGTATGTACTAAACTAAGACAGTTTTTAGCAAAGTACGGTATTACTAAGTAGCTACGGTAGAACTTACAACACATGTATTGACCGGATCCATAATCTACAAGTAAGAATACTTAAGATTACAATTCCAAATAAAATAAAAAATAAATTTAAATTCAGGGATGACGTCAATGGTCTCTTCAAACATTTTAAAAATTGCCAATACGTATACAAGTATAAAATATTTTATTAAAAGAACAATTTTTTAATGAATCGCTAAAAATCCCGATTAAGCATTCTGATTACACTCGAGCAATATCTAAGAACCGTTTTAGCAAGCCGCGTGCTAGCAATGCGTACGGGGAGCGAACATGTAGCTACTTAATAATATCTACCTCGGCTTATCAATAACTTGCCGGCACAATTGGTGGATGATGTCACTAATAATAACATTATTCCTCGGTATGCCTGGTCCATTGAACTCCACATTGAACAAAATTTGGTATATTTTTCTAACTATTCACAAAGATATGCTGTAATAGCTGGTAGCTTCCCTTTATAAACCAGCAGTAAAAATTAACCTTTACCCACAATCTGAATTTGGTTTATTTGTGAGTAGGACGTTTGTAAAGTGATTTGAAGTCTGTTGGACCCCACCAGGCATATCCGACGCATCATTTTGCCGGGGAGCTAAATTTTTTTAACATGTTATAAGTCGCATGCTTTAAGGTGAAGGAAAACATCGTGAGGAAACCAGCAAGTCCAAAAACGTCACTCAATTCACAGGCCCACTGAAAACCAGCGCTGTAGTCTCGTATCGACTGCGGAATTAAGCTGAGTGCGGTCTGTTTGCCGTGTACACACTTGTGTGCGTAAAATGTGTGATATGTTTAATATTTTTTTATTCTTCTTTTTTTTTCTTTTTACTATGTATTTTTTATGTTTATGGTTTAAATGTACATGTGGCGTATTTGAGCAATAAATGTTTTCTTTCTTTCTTTCTTTCTTTCTAAAAACCTAGCAAATTCAAGGACTTGTGATATTCACCAATACGCAATGGGTCCGCGCGGTAGATTTTGACCTGAACATCTTCATGAGAGAGTAGTCCGTGCTCCTGCAGTAGAGAAATTTAGAAGGCTGATTTTCATATATAATGTTTAAACCCTGCTTCAAATATAATTTTGTGTTTTAGGTGAAAATGAGTAGACAACTTACTGAAAAAAAAAATTGCTGCAGCTTTAGAGCTTGAAGGTAAAGGAGACGATGTAGCTTTTGAAGACAGTGGAGATGAATCAGACCACATAAGCTGTCACGAAGAATCTGACAAGGAAAGTATGATTGGAGTAAAAGAATCTGTTGATACCGAAATACTACAAAACGGAAGTAGTAATTCAGATTCAGAAATGGAAGAGCCGTCATTAAATCTTACTTCAACGGGGATTTATAAAGGTAAAGATACGGTTTGGAAGAAATGTCCCCCAAATACTCACGTCCGCAACAAGTCTCAAATACAGTAGCTGGAATACCAGGCGTTCAACCGCATATATGGAATATGAGCCTTGTGGGACAAGCGTTTGGGGGCTTTACCCACGCATTGGGTTTCGGTGCGGAAGGCGCGGGAGTGCTACCAACATGCGTGGATCCCTTGGTGACGGGGGCGGGCTTGGTGGCAATTTTGGGCGCTGAAGAGGACATCGAAGATGATGCGGGCTTGAGGTCACGCTGGGCTTATCCCTACGACTGGGACGGCTTTTGCTTCCGCACTGTTTGTGTCGTGGAGCTTTGGTATACCTATAATAGTTCACTGGGTGCCTCTCTTTGCCGCAACTAACAGAGGCTCTGCCGTCTCGGGCTTACGGTTGCAGTTGGAGGTGCCATGGTAACCTAGGCAGTCGTTACACCTAGGCCTGGCGTAACAATTTATGGCCGAGTGGCCGTAACATTGCCATCGTTGGCACTGTCCAAAGATGGACAGGATTTCGGGGGGGCTTCAACTGCAATCCCAGTCAGGTTGCAGATGCGCCGAATATTGAATATCTCCTTGCCTGCCGGAGACAGGTCCAGAATGATAAGACATAGGTCAAGGAAACACTTTTGTCGGTCTGGTGGTGCATTATGTGCACTTCACGGACCAGAAGATTCTGTTCTTAGAGGTCGTCTAAAATGTGTACGGTCTCGAGTTCTCTAGGGAGTCGTCGAACGACCACACGAAGATTTTGCTCCTCTGGTAGGGCTTATGTGTGAAAACTGATTCGTTGACCGCACACGTCACGTTGCGCAATTTCTCGGTCGAGTTTACGTACATTTTGATGCTCTGACCGGCGTTTTGTAGCTTTGGGCAGTATATTTTTTTGGGTTTTAGCTAATTTGACTGATTGTTTCACTTGGTTTTGTCCTAAATCATGATTGGTAGTGGTGGCTTTTCCCTGCGTTTAGCAGGGGACCCATTCGCTGCGGGCTTAGTCGCGCCTTGTTGGGTTGAGCGCGCGCCGCGGGGGCTGGCTTTTTCTGAGGTTGGGGGACAGGGGGGAGGGCGAGTTAGTCTCGGCTGCCTTTTTTCGGTGTTGCGCGCTTGCGCTTTTTGCTCTACTATCTGCCATCTTACTTGGAGATTTCAATATTGACTTGTTACATACGCATAAACCTAACGCGCAAAAGTTACAAAATTTCTTTAACTACATGAAACTTACTCATGTATATGAACCAGCTGACCCATTTCACAGGAAATAGTGAAACTTAAATTGATTTAATATGTGCCAATATGAATGTATATTGTGTATCTATTAATCATATTCCCGATCTTTGCAGTCATGTGCTATTGACATGCCACTTAAATATTAAAAATATTAGAGGACCTCCTAAATTAATTACTTACAGACCATTAAGAGAAATTGACATTAACAGTTTTAATCTGGACCTGGTATGTATAGAATGGGAAAATATAATAAATGATGATTTAAATAAAATGGTGGAAAATTTTACAAATATAATACTTCAACTTTTTAATATATATGCTCCTATGAGAACTTGTTTAATAAGAAATAAATCACATTCATGGATAACCTTTACTATTAAAGGAATGATGAAGTTACGCGATTCGATGCGATACGATACAATAAAAGTAAAACTACTAAATTAGATATTCACATAAAATTCTATAAAGATCTGAAAAACGTTGTAAATTCAGCAATACGTAGCGAAAAAATAGCGTATTTCAATAAATATATCAATTTTACTAACAAGCCAAAACTCTTATGGAAAAATATCAAAAAAAGCTAACTTTAAGAAAGAGGACTGTAATATGGCATCCCATTTATGTAATCCTGAAGATATTAATACATACTTTCTTAAGCTTCCCAACATCAGTGAAGACCCCATTAGATTGTCAGTCTCAACTGTGAACTGTGAACTTTGAATTTGATAAATTTGGAATTAATACTTTCAAATTAAAGACAGTTGATGAAACAACGGTATTAAACGTAATAAAATCATTTAAAACAAATGCACGGGGTGATGATTGCATTATTTTAAATATGATAATGCCTACTTTACCAAAAACTCTGCATCTAATTACGAGATTGGTTGACGAATCTATTAGAACGAGCGTTTTTCCCGAAAAATGGAAAGTAGCCTCTGTGAAACCGATTCCAAAGAAACCAAACCCAAGTAACTATGGGGAGCTTCGTCCAATTAGTATTCTACCATTAATTTCCAAGATCTTAGAAAGAATTGTCTGTACACAGATGACAAAATACCTAGAAGAAAATAAAATCCTACCTGAACAACAACCCGGCTTCAGAAGGTCTCGTAGTACTACCACGGCATTGATCGATGTCGTGGACGAAGTTTCAACAGCACGGGACAGTGGGCAAGGTACTCCATTGGTCTTGCTTGATTTTTCTCGTGCATTTGATACGATGAACATAACGCTTCTTCTCTCTAAATTAGACTACTATGGTTTCGACATTTCCACTATAAAGTGGTTTACAAGTTACCTTTCCAATCGTCTGCAGTACGTTAAAATATCCAGTGATAACGGCTCTGACATAGTATCGTCAACAATGCTTGTTGTTAGAGGTGTAGCACAGGGTTCTATTTTAGGGTCATTACTTTTTATATTATACATATCAGATATCGTTACTACAATCAAGTTTAGTAAGTATCACTTATACGCTGACGAGCTCCAATTATTTATATCGTTTAAACCTTGCGATACAGAGTTGGCAATTGGCAAAATTCAAGCTGATTTGAAATGTATTTCAAAATGGTGCAGTAACAACAGTTTGATAATTAACCTTTCTAAATCAAAGTAAATGTTGCTCGGAACACGTAAACAAATTAACAACATCCTAGCTTGGAATCCCCAAATTTCTGTTGACAGCTGTCCCATTGATCGCGTATCGGAAGCTCGGAACCTGGGATTGATTATGGATGACAGGTTGCGCTTTGAGGAACATGCTATAGGGACAATTCGTAACTGTTTCTATAGACTTAAAGTCTTATACAAAATTCGCGAGTACTTGACTGTGGATATGCACATTAAGTTGTGTGAAACTCTCATCTTGTCAACGTTGTCGTATGGTGACGCAGTTTTTGGTGAATGCTTAATGGCAAGAACAAAAAAACTGTTACAACGAATACAAAACGCTTGCGCAAGTTTCTGTTTTTCAATACCACCTCGATCTCATGTCACTTCATTCCTAAACCGACGCGACTTAATAAACATGTCCACCAGACGGAAGCTTCACCTCGCCTCCCTGCTCTTCGGAGTGGTTAAAACTGGGGAACCTTCTTACTTATACGACAAGCTCAATTTCTCACAGCGTTGCGTTAGAGCAACACCGCGACTTAATTACACACCGTTTTTTAGTTTTATATTTATATATCATATATATTATATGGATGGGCCTATACGTATATATAAAATGGACAGTAGATGAAACGGTAGATAGATTTATCGCAATTATTCCCATTATTGGAAAATATTTCAAAATTGATGTCTAATCTAAGTCACAAAGTTATTATTTTTATATTTGCTCGTGACTTTGACCGTTCAAAGTAGGCAATATTGAAAAATATTGTTGAATGTAGTGTAATGTCGGGAGGTTCGGAGAATAAATAATAAGTCTACTGGTCTTGAATGTAGGTTTATTACTCTCCAAATGTCTATTAGGCTATCATATATATAGCTACATGAGCATACACTAAACACACACTACACGCCCATCGGCAAAAAAAGAAAAAAAATTGAATTACAAAATTTTTTTTTCAATAAAACAAAACTTGGAGTAAGATTCAAAAAATTATTAATTATTTAAAAATATTAAAATTCCTATCCTATATCAAACTTATAACATAATAAAATAAAAATAAAATATCGTAAACACTGTAATTTGAAAAGAATAACTTTCCATCTCTTTATTTAAATTTATTAAACTATCATCAAATTTAAGTCTAATCTAAGTTTTTGTTTTAAATTGCTTTTAGTTCGCCTATCATAACTGCATAACTTTTAAAATTTTCATATATAACTATTAATTCACTAGACACGAAAATACAGTTCAAAAAAAAATAAAGTTATCAAAATTATTATAAGGCGTATATAAGATTGTTTACAATATTATTATTTTATTAAACTTAAACTATATTTTTAAATTTAAACCTTAATAAACTTTAAAGGTAAAAAACCAATTCCATTAAAACAGTAAGTATTCTTATTTTTAAGTAGATAAACTTCAACATACTTATTTAAATCACACTGTAGTGTGGTATTACAAACATTACTAGCACTATGCTTACTTAAGGGCCCTACTAAATCTAAATAAATTATATCAAAGAGGAATATCCCGTATCGGTTATAACTTATAACCATTGGTTCCTTTATATATTTATTTAAGTATTTATATCGCAAACACTTGTCTCATCGATTTACATAATTAGTAGGATGTTACTAATTACGTATATTATATAGTCTCTAACTCTGGTCAAAAGAAACTTTTCTTTGTATTTTTTATCATTCTCCTATACGCGCGTGACCGTTTGTTGGCAAAAAATGATAGTCGTTTAATATTACATGTTTTGTCACACGGCGGTCCTAGTGCAACATAATCAGAATTATTAACGTAACAACAGGGATCAAATACAACTTACAATCTCGGCCGCGTAAGCGGTTTGTGACACCTTTGTTTTAATTTCTAAGTATGTTCATGGGAACGTTTTTTCGATTGCGTTGTATAATGGTACCTAGTTTTAACCATGCATTAAAATTATATCGTAAATAAAATGAATTTAACTTTCCCAATAGTTTGTACCTCTAAATACATATAGATTGTTACATTCAATTTTAAATTCATTTTGTAAAAGTATTATGCTTTTACATAGGTACATTAACAAAAAATCATTAATTAAGTTATTTATAATTTCGAAAACTCATTTTTTCATGAAATGAAATTTATATAAAAAAAGAAAACACTACTAGGTACACAGCTCAAGTTTGTTTTACGAAATATTTATTAAC